GTTACCCTAAGCTCAGTATACCGCGAGCTACAGCTCGCGGTATACTGAGACGCCGGAGCAGATCCCGACGTAGATGACGGGATCCGCCCAGCTGCGTGAGTGACAGCTGGCTCTGCCTATCTAGAGGCAGAGCCAGCTGTACCCGCCCCGTCCGTTCCGCCAGTCAGCGCTGGCAGATCGGAGCGGGGAGAGGGGAATCCAGCCCCTCCCCCTGTCACGGCAGAGAGCCGTGACAGGATCGAGAGGCGAGCGAACCCGGTATGTGTTCGCTCACCTCCCGATCTACTGAGCCGACCTGTGACAGTCTCATTGTCACAGGTCGGCTAGAACTATGAGGTGAGTGAAAAGCACTCACCTCATAGTTCTCCTTTAATCATAGTTCTCCTTTAATCATAGTTCTCCTTTAAGAGATGCATTGGTAGAATTAGATTTTTGAGTGTAAAGGTCCGCTTCAACGATTTGACCTGTGATTTAACAAGCAAGCCAGATTTGGAAAGTGTTGTGTGTTATCAGCCATTTTGGGATAAAAAAGACTTACCTGAGGCTGCCTACTGTGTCTTTCAGTGGGATTACAGGGCAGGAAGCGTATAAGAAATATCTCACTGCGGGATTTGAATTATCTTCATTGTGATAAACTTGTGGAAGTTTTTTATGCACTTGAATCTGTAATTTCACTTTCTTTACCCTTCCTTGTCATTTGTACAAGTGAGTTGTATTAAACTAGAAGACATCTGAATATAGAGTTTTATCTATCTTTTATTTTGTAAACTGCACCAGAAAAGAAAAAGAAATGGAATCTGGTTGTTATTGACAACTATCTTTCTTTTTTTCCACCCTAATAGAATATTTATTAAAGGAGAACTATGAGGTGAATGCTTTTCACTCACCTCATAGTTCTAGCCGACCTGTGACAATGAGACTGTCACAGGTCGGCTCAGTAGATCGGGAGGTGAGCGAACACATACGTCCGTTTTTTTACTACGGGCGGACGGCAAGTGGTTAATATACTTTTTATCACACCGCTCTGTACAACCAATTTACAAAGCTTACAGAGGGACACCTTCATTTAATTGTTGTCATGTGACTGTAATTTTTGATTCTTATTGAGCCCAGCTGAAAATAATTGTCCATTTTTTGAAAATGAAATACTCATACTGGCGTGTTAGCTTAGATTAAAGTGACACCAAACTCAGGAGTTAAATCTTAAAAATAAATTTTAGTACCTCAACTATTAACAAAAATGTATCTCATTTGTGTATCACTCGGCTGTAGATCCTCAAATCATCTCTGAATTGGTGCTGACACTGTCCTTCCTTCTGGAGGGGGGCTACTTTTCTTCCCCATGGTCCCTGTGTGTGTTGTAAAGTAGTCACCGCTCCAAGCTCACTCCTGTGATGGATTACAATCTCAATACAAATAAGTAGGGATGCATAAATACTGTTTTTTCAGTATCGAGTACAAGTACCGATATATTTTTTTTGGTACTCACCGATACCAAATACCGATACCGGAAGTCCCATTAAGAAAACCAGGCCAATCAGAAAGCGGGCCAATCAGAAAGCTGGGCAATGCATCATTACAAGGTGCCCAGCTTCCTGATTGGCCCGGGGAAGCCGGCTCCATGCTTCCTCGTCACCAAGTGACGAGGGAGCATGAAGCCGGCTTCCTGGCCAATCAGAAAGCCGGGGGGCGTGTAATGACAAGCTGCCTGGCTTCCTGATTGGCTGGGAAGCTGGCTCTTTGCTCCCTCGTCACAAGTGATGAAGGAGCATGGATTTGGTTTCCCGGCCAATCAGGAAGCCAGGCAGCATGTAATGACTCGCTTCCCGGCTTCCTGATACCGGACGCTCAAGTATCGGGCTAGGCTTTGGAGCATTTGGGCGAGTAGGAATTTGCCCAAATACTTGGCATCGGCACCGATACTAGTATTGGCAATGGTGAACTAAACCAGAGATTGTAGTCTATCCTGGGAGCGAGCTTGGAGTGTTGGCTACTTTACAACACACACGGGGACCATGGGGAACAAAGGTAGCCACCCTCCAGAAGGATGCAGAGATGATTTGAGGATCTACAGCCGAGTGATACACAAATAAGATATATGTTTTGATATTAGTTAAGGTACTTGAATGCATTTTTAAGATTTAACTCCGGAGTTTAGCAGTGAGATCACGTGAACCTTTTAATTGCAGTTCTATTGATTCTTCTAACTGGGGAATTTAGCTGAAAGAGAGTGACACCTTCATTATGTCATATATAAGAACCCAATGTATTATCCAAAGCATTGATGCCCTCTAATGTATTTGTCTAGAAATAGTAGTTTTGGGTAGATTAGTCCATTAGCAGTGCCTGAGTCCTGATTTTTTCGACTCTGTTTAGAAATTGGCTGGTGGCTTCTACAGGTGAAACTCGAATAATTAGAATATCGTGCAAAGTTCATTTATTTCACTAATGCAACTTAAAAGGTGACTGCGACTGTGCTGTGACTGCGGATTGTTGGGCTATTTAAGTTGTTTTTTTTTTGAACGTGAGATGTATTCTGTAATTACACTGCCATCAACTGGAAATGTTCAGAAATACAGCTTACCAACAACGTAACAAATGTCAGGGGAATCATTGAATAAGACCAATACTGAAATACGTTTCCAATTCTGATGGTTCTGATAATGTGCTGTACCTTGTTAGGAATTAATATTTTTTTATGAATATATAATTATACTTTCTTTTCTCATAATCTTACCTTACATGTTTTTTTTAAAATCTTACTATATAATATATGAGTGTTCCTTAACACCAGTCCTCAAGTACCCCCAACTGATCCTGTTTTTAGGATAGGAGAACAGCTGCAGATATTACTGAGCCTGGAACACAGATCAAAGGAAATCTGCTAGGACAAAAATAATAAAACCGCTGCTGCCAAATTTTCGAGGGTGTTTGTTCCAGGGCTGTCATCTTTACTTCTCTGCTTAGTCAGTTACCAAACATGTGCAGATTAGGACTTGTTCATACAACCGGCGTTGTTGATGCAATGCCCTAATGCATCTCCAGAACCCACATTCAGTACAATATACCTCTTTGCACCGTTACACACAATGGGGGGACATTCATCAAGCAAATAAGCAACTCCAGATGCAAATCAGACTGTCTCCCTTAGCTAAATCTCTGCCACAAGTTTACAGTGTATTTGGGACCCCTGTGTCTGAATTCCTGGGCAGCCAAGTGACAGATTTGCACAGGTCTAAGACAGATTCATTATTAAAGATCATACAGATTTTCAACCTAAGGCTGCGTTCACACCTCGGCATTTTGTTGCTAAAGGCTGAGCATGACACAACGCTCAAGACAAGGAATCCTATTCATTTCTATGGCCCCAGTACACACCTCAGCATTTTGTCGCAAGCAGAAAAATGCCTGTCGCTGGAAAAAGTACTCAAGCTACTTTTTTGGGGATTACAGTGCTTTTGGACCCTTAGACTTCAATTGGAAACTGTGTGCAACAAAACGCCTCGGTGTGAACGGGGGCTAAACAGATACATAATGAAGAAGTGGTCGGGGTCAGGTTCCATTCTGTGGCAGTGCGACTTCAGGGCAGCTTGGCCCCTTGCTAGGCGAAGCCATCATAAATGCTGTTTCTCACACGGCAATGCTGCCTCTAGATGGAGCTGAGGAGCAGTGTCAGGAAAGCCATGCGGAAGGCATTTATACAGCTATATGCTGGGCAAAGTTTTCAACCCCATAATGTGTTGATGTGGATCTTAAAGTCCAATTATTGTTGAGGAAAGAGATATGCAGGCACGTAAGACAATGTACTAACAATATTTGTTTTCATAATCTTACCTTTTTCCTATTACAGCAGTTGTGATGGTCAAGGAGTTTAAAGGAAAACTATGGGGTTAAGGCTTTTCCCCATAGTTCTCCTTAGGGTAACGGTAGGACACAAACTAGCATCCTCCCGTCACCCTAAGCTCAGAATACCGCGAGCTACAGCTCGCGGTATGCTGAGACGCCACAGTATACCGCGAGCTACTGCTTGCGGTATACTGAGACGCAGCAGCTGAAGCAGATCCCAACAATTATGTCTGGATCCGCCCAGCTGCGTGAGTGACAGCTGGCTCTGCCTATCTAGAGGCAGAGCCCGCTGTACCCGCCCCACCCCTGTCCGATCCGCCAGTCAGCGCTGGCGGATCGGAGCGGGGAGGGGGAATCCAGCCCCTCCCCTGTCACGGCAGAGAGCCATGACAGGATCGAGAGGAGAGAGTACGCCGGTATGTGTTCGCTCACCTCCCGATCTACTGAGCCGACCTGTGACAGTCTCATTGTCACAGGTCGGCTAGAAAAGCACTCACCTCATAGTTCTCCTTTAAAGATAGGCATGGGCATCAGAGTTAGACCCAGTGCAATTAGTAATCAGCACTAATGAACAGAGCTGGTCTGACATGCGCTCTCTCTTCCTCTGCAGTAGAAGTCTGTGTGAGGACACTTGTGCTGAGGGGTGTGGCAATTACTGAGCTCTGACAGCACAGAGCACTGCAGTGCGAGTACAGGTAGCAGCATTTTCACTGAGAAAAGAGAACGAGTTTTGGTTATATCACGCAACAATTATCTATCAATCGTTAAATTGTATTAGTCAGTGGTTTTATTTCTCAGCTTCCATAGAAAGTCTTATCATACTGTAGTATATATAAAGTACAAGGTGGGTATTTCGAAAGGTAGAAACCTTTTCCATGCATTAAATTGCATCCCTATAGAAGGTACACTGCTGGAAACTGCACCAAAGACGTAGCAAGCAGTGTTTTTTCTTTAATTAACGCATTGCACTAAAACACACAAGCGTGAATGCATGTTTATATTATAAAACGTAACATCTTTTTTATGTCATTATAGTCCTGTAGCCCCCATATGTTATGATATGTTATTGATTTTCACTTAGAAATGCCTTAAAATACATCTCTCTCTCTCTCTCTCTCTCTCTCTCTCAATCTCTCTATCTCTCAATCTCTCAGTCACCGAACAAACCTACAATACCCCAAGACAAAATCCGACCCTTGACCAGCTTGGACCACCCGCAGAGCCCCTTCTATGATCCAGAAGGAGGTCCCATTATTCCAGTTGCCAGGGTCATTATTGAAAGGATTGCTAGAAAGGCAAGTAATTCATTATTAAAGGTAATACCAAATTTTTTGGGTTTTGCATAACATTAAAATGTAAAGTTTTGTACACGTTCCTTTTTTATATTTTGTAGACTAGTGAATATGACATTTTGTGTATTAATATTTAGTATTCTCCATTTGAGCCAGCAGGAGACTTTAGGCTTTTATTAAGGTTCCTTCTGTCTCTTTGCCCCTCTTGCAGAACTCAATAACTGAAGCTGCAATTTACACACACTCACGTGAATGAGTCAGAGGATTGACTTCTACCTTTCTGTACATCTGGGTCTGAGGTTTTAGTCGGATCGTGCAAGTCTGAAAGCACACATCTGCTGTGCTAGCTCTTTAGCTAACCCATAGTGCTCTGGGAATTGTCATATTTATTTATAGAACACACTCACTAATATGATATGGTATGATATGATATGATAGATAAACTTGGATTCTTAGCCTACCTTACTTTTTTAAATATTAGCTAAGATATATAAGTATCTGATTAAACCTTCCGTCACCCTACATTTACTGTTTTTCACTTTGCCTGCTGATTATTAGGAAGATGGGCTGTTTTTATGATGTGTGGGGTCAGGTTGCCCGCCCGATTAACAACTGATTTGATAAAATCTCCGGCAGATTCTATTGTTTTTAATAACATAGCACTGCCTGGTCAACTGAGACAGAAGGAAAGTAAAGCACAGCCACTCTGCAGCACTACCAAAAATAAAACATATCAGATATGGCTTCTTCATGTACAGGTATAGCTAAAGTGGAACTCCATTTAAGAAAAAAAAATACCCTGGTCCTCCCTGAGCACCCTGCACCATGCTTAAAAAATTACATACGTGCATTTTTTCTAAGAGTTCTATGGTTGGTCTGATGATGTCACAGGTCCTTGTCCAGTGGCGGTGTTGGGCAGTCCTTACTAGTGCCCTGAACACCAACTCACGTAATCACACGGGATCACTGTACCATGCAGTGTTACTTTGAGCCCAGGCTGCTATAATGATGTGTGTTGACTGCCTGGGCTCACTGAAAGTTGGTTAACATTGGCAGAAATTAAAAGAGAACTATGGGGTAAGTATTTCTCCCCATAGTTCTCTTAAGGGTCACGGGAGGACATATACCAGGGTCCTCCCATGACCCAATGCTCAGTATATCTCGAGCTACAGCTTGCGGTATACTGAGACCGCCGCAGTCAGGACGGATCCCAACAATGCTGTCGAGATCCACCCAGCTGCATGATTGACAGCTGGCTCTGCCTATCTAGAGGCAGAGCCAGCTGTACCAGCCCCATTCCACCGTCCGTTCCTCCAGTCAGCACTGAAGGATCGGAGCGGGGAGGGGGGAATCCCTGCAGGGAGCCGTGACTGACAGTCACGGCTCTCTGCAGGGAGATGATTGAGAAGTGAGCAAGCGACGCTATGTGTTCGTTAACTTCCCGATCTATTGACCCGACGTGTGACAGTTTTATTGTCACACGTCGGCTTGAACTATGAGGCTGGAAAAGGGCATCCCCAGAATGAAGGTAAGTTTTGCAGCAAAAATAGCTTTTTTTAATGGGCTAAGTTGTTTCCTTTTTTTAAATGGAGTTCTGCTTTAAAACTATACACATAAAAATGTTTTTAAAACGTTCACATATTGATATGATGACTGACACCAGAGTGATCACCATCATATATACTATATATACTGTATATCTAAACAAAAATATGAGAAAAATGCTAGTTTTTCTTTTAGCATATGCTTTTAAAACTTTCTAAATATCTATTCAATGTCCTCCCTGTGTTGTGTGGGTAATTGGTAAAGATAATTGGTAAAGCTATGTTAAATGTCTCTCTGCTCATTGGCTTCAAATCAAACAGCATGAACCCACAATGTTACCGTAGTGCACGATATACAATAGCTCTGTTTGATTAATGTATGCAGAACAATGCCCAACCTTATCACAGCGATGAATCCAGCTTTCATTAGTAGCCGAGTGATTGTTAATTGGGCCGGCGGCTCACCTTTTTCAGATCATTAATTAGAAGTTTTGTCTTACAGGGAGAGCAGTGCAATGTTGTCCCGGACAACATAGATGACATTGTAGCTGACCTGGTTGCAGAAGAAAAGGAAGAAGGTAAAAATAACTGGGATGGTGAATGCCTGATTTGGATCACATTTTAGTTTTTTTTTTTAATTAGACCTCCTTGAGGTGACTGTGGGAAAAAAAAATTGTAAAAGAAAAGGTTTAATATTTACCTGTTCCTCCACCCATGCCTTAGATCTCTACTCTCAATCTCAAAGTGGCTAAATAATCTTCACCTGACACTCTTCTGGGGTTGTTAGATCCCTGGCACCCAGTGGTTCCAGCTGCTGGCTGTATTAGACACCCTCAGAAGCATTTCTGTTTCAAATGTTGCAATATGCAACAACATACCTCCTTAGATCTTAGTCTGTGTGGACAGTGTGCCCAGTTGTGTAACTGACAGAATCCACAAGCTGCTTAACTCTTCAATAAGACACTGTCAGGATCCAGATCTGCACCCAGGGCCTGTGCCATATCTGGCAGTGTATAGCTACCTTGGACAGATGGTTAGATAACCACCTGCTGAGCCACCTTAGATAGCTCTGTGCCTGACCTCCAGTGTGTATATTTGATTCAACATCTGTGTCTGTCATGATCAGGGATCAGACTTGGAGTCCAGTAGCTGAAACAGCAGCCACATTTGTGGTATAACAGACCGGGTTTGGTACACAAGCAGACGGTAGTAGTATAGGAGCAGGCAGAAGCGTAGTCAGGAGATTAAGCCAAGGTCAGTAGCCAAAGGTATCAGTTTTGAAGTAGAAGGCAATAAGCGTAGTCGGTGAATCAGCAGCTAAAGGTTGGTACACAAATAGCATTATGAGAGGATCATATGGCAGTAGGAGCAGGAAGCAAGATATATGCAGGAGCACAATAATCTGGCAAACATTAAGTGCAGTGGCATGGCTTGAATAGGAAGCTCAGGGGAGGAGCAAGAAGTTCAGAGTTCAGCAGAAAACTAGGTTTAACTGAGTAACTGAAGGAATACCCCTTTAATAGTGCTTGGATCACAAAAGATTGAACTGGCCCTGATGCTGGATGCAGCTCAAATTGAAGTCTCTGTTGTGCCAGCGGAAACATTTGAAATGCTCCACCTGTTGTTCCTTCACTTGTAGAACCTTCCAGTCAGAATTCTCCCTATTGGCAGCAGTAACATATCAGCTCCCAACTGTCAGTGCAGATTTAAAGTAATTACATCATCACTGTACTGCCCAAACTGTCACTATCGCCGTTCCAAAGCCAGATGGAGTGAGGATACGTACCTGGTGATATTTGTATAGGATTCCGCCTGTTCAGTTACAATAATAATATAATTTAAAAAAGGTGTCCCTGTATTGTGCAAGTTCTGCTATAAGCTCTCAATTCTATTATCCATATACCTGTTTGCAAAGCATTTTTCTTGTAGGCTGGGACATTGAATCTGTCTCCCAAAGCCGTGCAAAAGATAAATGCTCCAATCTAGAAGTAGCACCTTACCAGCGGTGGCCTATGTTTAATAGTTAGAATAAAACAAGCCTGTTGGGAGAGCAGACTCCGGAGTGAGCAGATGACAAGAATTGATTGCGATTATGCAAAAGGAACGCTTTGTTTGTCTTAAAACCATACAGACTTTTTTTTTTCTTTTTTTTTCACTTGCAATCACTCATCACCGCTGCCACCGCCAAAGAGGGAATAAAAAAATGAGTTCTTTATTTGTCAGCCGCTGCCCTTAAACCGGTCCTCGAAAGATCTGCAAGATTTATGATCAAAGTGTTCATTCATCAAACTTGGCAGTGCGCGCAAAAGGCGGGAAAATGGCACTTGATAGATTTTTTTTTTGCTTTTCGAGAATTTTTTAGTGATTTATCATAAGGTATTGTGCAGCTTTCAGAAGGTATTATTATTTTCCTTTTTCAGATGACACTGACTTAAATTACCACAAAGCATTTGCTGTATTTTATGTACTGATGTTTGGATTATCTTAGAAAGATGTTCATCCAGCACCAAAATGTACCCCCCCTTTCTTTGAACACTTTTAGGTATGACCAGGAAATATATTTCTGCAACAGTTACGTGGGCTGTGGCTTAGGGAGGCAGAACGCTAAGGGCCAACCACATACCCACCAATCAGCCAGTGGAGTTTTAATAGGAAAATTGAAGTTGAGCCAGATTTGATATGTGTGAAATGAGCTGGCATGTGGGAGCCCCATGCTTATCTTTTCATTGTTCTCCTATTATCTGATAAGAGTCAACTGAGTTACACATGATGTTTGCTGACTGGTACTCCTGCCATGCCTGCCAATGCCAACTTCCCCTTGCTCTCCTCAGGGATTCTCAAACAAATGTGGGTTTGAGGTTGCCAGCCTTAAACCAAGTTTAACATTTCTAATTTAATCTGCACATTATTTAGATGATACGCCTGAGACATGCATCTATTCCAACTGGTCTCCTTGGTCGGCTTGTAGCTCCGCAACCTGTGAGAAAGGAAAACGGATGAGGCAACGCATGCTAAAAGCCCAGCTTGATCTTAGCGTCCCCTGTCCAGATACACAGGACTTTGAGCCTTGCATGGGACCAGGATGCAGCGATGATGGTAAGATATAGGACTTTTCTTACTGCGTAGAATAGGTAGACAGGGAACATGTCTCTGGTGGTATTGTACAGGAAGGGGGAGTGCAAGAAATCTCAGATTATTTTACTTTATGCACTATCCTTGTATGTTTTTCTTACATTTATTGCAGAAAAGGAATTTTCCTATGGTCTTTACATTGTATTCATTTATAGAACATATCGGTTTCAGTTATGCTTTGTATTACCCATCAACTTCTTATATCTCTTAGAGAATGAAGCAGGAGAATTGGGCAACATGACACCATTGTTTGGCATTGTAGAAACTGCTCAAAATAGTTCTTTTGATTTCACCACTGAAGTCCCTAACAGATACAAGCAGCCAGCATGTGTTTAAAGCAGAACTACACCCTCCTATCCTTTACAGCCAAGGAAGGTGCCATCTTAGCCTTGGATTGCAGTTGCCGTGTAACCAGCTATGACACCAACCGTTTGAGGGCTTGAAAGTTCAGCTGAGAGCTCATATAAGCACACTGGCAACCTTGACAGTTGGCATGCCTTGAAAGTAATTGTTTTTGAAACAGTATAATTGCCATGTCAAGTCCCACTTTAATGTACTAGAAATCACACAAAACATTTAATGTCATTTTATGGGTCTGAGGTTTCCACACTTTAAGCCTATGCCTAAGTTTTAGGAACCCTTATTAGAGGCTGGTCTCCACATAGCAGGTCATGATCAACTTTGAAAAGGAAGTTGCTCCTCCATCAAGACAACAAAATCCTAGGTTGCTCCTGTAGCCCCCAGATGCCCACCTTGTCCATATACTTTTGAAAAGACATCACAGGTAGTTTGGCTAAAGCTGCCTACAGACATAAAGCCAATAACTATGTAGTACAATGGCCTACCTAAATGGATACAAACTATATAGATCTTATAGCTAGGCTTTAACATTACCTGCTAAAATATCATTTTGGGGAACACTGACAAAAATGATATCTACAGATCAGTTATTTTGCTATATAAAAGATCAAAACTGCCCATTTCTTCAGACTTATATCTTATATCAGTACAAGCTCTTAAAATACCTTAGTGCTAGATGAATCTTTTTTCTTTCTTTTTACTTCAAGGCAGTTTCAGATTTGGCAGTCCATCAGTAAATGTCCATATCTATTTGTTTTTAGAAGCATCAACATGCATGATGTCAGAATGGATCATGTGGTCACCCTGCAGTGCCACTTGCGGAATGGGAATGCGATCCAGGGAAAGATATGTAAAGCAGTTCCCAGAAGATGGTTCTTTATGCAAAGTGCCAACTGAGGAAACTGAGAAGTGCATTGTCAATGAGGAGTGTGGTGAGTAGCATATATCTTCATGCAGCTTCGAATAGAGACAATAGAGAATATGGGAGGCGGGGGTGGGGAGGATTAAAGTCATAAGAGATCTGTCAATTTTTAGATTTAAGTTTTGAAATTCTCTTGCAATCTATAGAAACCATTTAGCTTCCAACTGTTACTTCCTCCAATCAGTGTTTGAAAATGAAATAAGAAATCTGACATCTGTCAGAGGGGGGCATAAGGTAGTTGGTGAAGGATGTGTATGGTGTTTGGGGGGTGGGGGGGTTGGGAGGGATGTCTGCTAAAGGGGGAAGGGATGGTTAGAGGGTTGGTGGGGTGGTAGGGTGTTTGAAGCCTTTAGAACTTTGCTTAGCAGGCTGGTGGATCGAGGTGTATGAGGGGTGGAGAGGTATAAGGTAGCCAGTAGGAGAGGATACAGACAAGGGGTTTGAAAATTTACCAATATCTATTTAGTACAATGGCCTGCCTACATTAATACAAATTAAAGGGATCTTGCTAGCTAGGCTTTCACATTACCTGTAAAAAGATCATTTTGGGGAAGAGTGACAAAAACTCTCATCTCAAAACTCTTAACCCCCAAATCCCCCCTTCCCCATGGGAGGGATGTCTGAGAACGTATAATGCTGTTAAAGATGAAGTCATGCATGACAATTTGGCATGTATATCAATAATTCTCCTGTATCAGACCCTGTGAAAATGCAGGCTAATGTGTTAACCATTGCAACCACTGCCCTCTTTTCAAAGTGAACCCGCGGCAAGGGTATGGACATTTAGCATCAACATATTCTTACCAGGCAGTAAATAGGCTTAAAACATGTCCTCACTGACCATTTTGGCAGCAGGCAATGTGGAGAAATTGATCGTCAAAGTGTACAGCAGCACAAAAGTAATTCAAGTAATTCTATTAGCAGCTCAGCTCCCCCTGCTCACCCTTTTAGCAGTGATTTACCGTCTTTGGAATTTCTAATGTTAAAACAGATCAGTAACTCTGGGAGCAGGGTAAGCTGCTAAGAGTTATCCACTTGGATGACTTCATTGCTTCTGCAGTAGAACTTAGTGGTCAGTAAGGGTTTGGTTTAAATCATGTTAAGAATATGTAAATAGTGGAATGTCCATAGCCTGGCCATGTGTTGACTTTAAGCTCATTACAGCTTGCCTATACATACTCAACCAGGAGTAGAGAGCACAGATATATGACACGGTGCAGCAGTCTTCTGGAAGCACTATGAAAAGCTGGGTTAATCTGGCTGCTTTTATATATTTTGGTGATATATTGACTCTTAAAGAGGAAGATGAACATGATGCTAAACCAATGAGTCAATGATGGGTTGTGGTTGAAAAGTCTTACAATGCTTTTTTACTATTATTTTTACAGAGCCAAGCAGCTGTATAGTAACAGAATGGGGTGAGTGGGAGGAATGCAGCGCCACCTGTGGGATGGGGATGAAAAAGCGACACAGGATGATTAAGATGACTCCAGCGGATGGGTCCATGTGTAAAGCCGAGACCTCGGAGGTGGAGAAGTGCATGATGCCTGAGTGCCGTATGTATATGTTCTATTCTTTACAGTTTTACTAACAACAATAGTACTTTTATAATTTTTTATATACTAACTAATGGGTGCTGAATGGTTTTAGGGTGTGTGAAGCAACAGGTTCACTTTAACACTCCCCCACATCCCTGTGCTTCCACAGCTGCGCATACTGACTTTTCATTTACTCCCTTGAGCTCTGTTTAACAAACACAACTCTATGTCAGCTTCAAGTCACTTCAGATGGAGCTTACACAGCAGATCAGAGTTTCCAAAACCATTCACTAAGCACCAGCATTGTCTCCTAGAGTCACATGTTCCACCATATCTGAGAGTATTGAGTAATTTCTTCCCTCCTCACAAATAAACAGGGTGGTGGGGAGGTAAGAAAAAATGTATACACGCTACTGGGAAGAGCACTGGCAGAACTACCAGGGTCTCAGCAGTCGCATGTGCGACCGGGCCCTAGCCTTCCTCCACTTAGGGGGGCCCTTTCACTGTCACTGGCATATGCATTATACGTTGCCGGTAGTGGACCCCTTTAAACAGACTCCTGGTAGCTGTGTTTACATCTGTGGAAGCAATTTTGGTGGCTGGGCTGCCACCAGATCGCTTCCAGGGGTCAGTATAGTGTGCCCCCCCCTCACCCGAATCCCCCTGCCTTGCTTCCCCACCTCTGCTGCCCCTCCTGCAGGCCCAGGACCGACATCACAGGTGTCGGTGGAAAGAGACCAGCAAACATGCTTTTGTCGATCTCCACACTGCTGAATGGGGCCAGAAGCAATGCTGATTGCATGACTTCCAGTCCCTCAGCTGTCACTCACTAGCTGCAGAAGCCAGGAAAAAGCTATTCAAACTCAATCTAATTGACCCCTAATGTCACCTTAAAGAGAACCTGTCAACTCCAATGTGCTATCACACGGGGGCTCGTAATCCTCCAATGTGATAGGAATTAAGTTAAGTTAAAAAAAAAGTTAAAAAAAAAAAATCAAACAAATGTAAAAATAAAAAATGATAGTCCCCCTGTGACACTCATCTCCCCTCTGGTCCCACTCTCCCCCACATCCATCTGCTCCCACACACCTCCATACCTTCCCTGGTCCCTCTCACCCCCACATCCCCTCTGCTCCCAATCTTCCCTATATACACTCTGCTCCTACTCTCCCCAAAATCCTCTGCATTCCCATATCTCCCCTCTGCTCCCACCCCCCCCAACCCCCCATATCCCTTACCACTCTCCCCCTCATCACCCCTCTGCTACCACTCTCCCCCTCATCACCCCTTTGCTCCCACTCTCCCCCTTATCACTCTCTGCTCCCTGTCTCCCCCAGATCGCCTCTGCTTCCTGTCCCCACCTCATGCTCCCACTCTCCCCCTCATCATCCCTCTGCTGTGTCTGCATATAATTGTCCCTCTTGTGTATCTTACCTTCTGGATGGCAGCCGAGGTGATTTCCCCCTTCTCCCACTGCCAGAGGATACTTTTTTATTGTTTGCAACACATTATCACAGACATTTCACACAATTGATGGGAGGCCAAGATAACCACTTACAGAAATGCTGACATTGTCAAAACTAAACCCAGATTTCAGGCAGTATTACTGGCTTTGTCTACAGTCAGATAGTGAAAGGGTAATGAATAATGATCCAATCTGTATTGCTGTACTAGACCACAAATGCATCAATAGTACATGAATACCTTTCATGCTAGGAGACTGCCAGAATCGCAGACTGTATCACCTTCTATAATTGCACGGGTGTGTGTCTTGTTTCGCGCATCATAATTTGCATTTAAATTGACCCCATCATTTACATATGAATTAGTCACTGCACATTCATTAGTAAATACCATGATCCATTGATATGTAAATCTAAAGGCCAGACCTATTTTTATTGGTGGGCCTGGAGCTGGTGCTCCAAATGCCCCTTTGTTAATCTGGCCCTGGTGAGATGTAATAAAGCAGTAGAACATGTTCATTTTGCAATGTACATTTTTACTTCTACATACACTCATAATGCATAAAGAGGGTAGAGCCTATCTAACATTACTGTTCTAATAATTGTTTTGTCTCTCATACTCAGATACAATTCCATGTGTCCTCTCGCCATGGTCGGATTGGAGCGACTGTAGCGTAACCTGTGGCAAGGGATCCCGTACACGACAGCGAATGTTGAAGTCACCAGCTGAACTTGGGGACTGTAATGAGGAGCTGAAGCAAGTGGAGAAGTGCATGCTACCAGAATGCCGTATGTATAGACAATCTAATGTGCTGGGTGGTTAAATAAAGTGGGGATCTGAGCAGGAATTATCGGGGACCCCAAGAGACATGCAAGCTGCTGGAAAATTTGTTTCATTTTCGTTTTGGATCTATTTGGATTTTTTTGTTTTTGTGATTGGATTTGCAATTCAGATCAGTCTGATATTCGTTATTTGGATTTCGTATGTATCCAATATTTTATTTTTGGATCTATTCAGATTGAGTTATTCACAATTAATTAAAAAAACAGTGTAGGATCCTCTCCCCGATTCCTACAAGACCCAGATAAGTCCCCTGCCCGCAGACCCCCACAACCACAGGGCCAGGGTTGTGGGGAAGAGGCTCTTGTCTTTATCAACATGGGGACAAGGTTTGCCAGCACCCTTACTCCCAATGCTGAGGGCATGTTGCCTGGTAGACATGTGCATTTAGATTCGGGCGAACCTGCAAATCAACGAAACTCAGTTGATTTGGCGGTTCGTCCGAATACGAAATAACACATTTTTTTTATGCCCGAATATGCTAAACTGATATTTGGGCATATAAAAATTTGTCTTTAGCGCATGCCCATCTTGGAGACGGGGTGCATTATGTCACATGACACCACACGTGTGCGGTGCTGGGTGACGTTATTCGCAGAACGAGTGGAGACCAGATCAGCCACCACTGTGTTCTGCGCAAGCGCCGCCATTTTGGAGTATATCTTGGTACACACCAAGATGGATGATATCCGTTCTGCATTTTCTTTGTGCGATTTCGGATTCAGAGACTCGTTGCCTCCGAATCCGAAACAGCATTAAAATTTGTTTCCTTTGACGAAACAAATGAAAATGTTTTTCATTCACATGTCTATTGCCTGGCATGTCCCCCCTCTTCCTGCTCTGCCAGGCTGATGCTCGAATCAAGGGTCTGGTAAAGGATTTATTTTTTGTGGTGAGCATGCTTTTTTTTTTTTTTTTGGTGTTGGGGCCCCCCCCTAAAATTCCTACGAGACCTTAAGAGTGTTTTGGGGGGAATTGTCTTACACCGTTCAGTTCATTTCCAAAAATTCGAAAGGCATCTCAATTTTTACGATTAATCGCAATGTCCGAATATCCCAATATTCCTCCAAATTTCAATTTGGAATGAAACGAATCTTACATGTCTAAACCCCAATGGGTACTGCAATGGCCACACAGCAGCTACTAATAAATAAACCTGGTGTCATGCCTCAAGATGTTCATACGCTGGGCACTTAAGGTGATATAATACCACGGATTACCAGATGGCTGCCATAGTAAAACCATGTTTCTGATGGTCTATCCAGATTATCTAGTGCCAATGCAAAAAAGTAAAACGTAAGAGATAAGTACCTTCTGCTGTTTTATTTTTAGCAGCTAGCGGTAGAGAGTCAAATGTATTGATAGCAGCTAGAAAGTAAGTCTGCATCATTATAAGTCTCAGACTCTTTTGTACATTTAGAGAACAAGCGTCATCCAATCATTATCATTCTTCACTATTTAAAAATCAGAACAGTCTCATCAAAATCAAGGTGTTCTTCACATGACACATCAAGCTATTCTTTTTATCTAAGGGTCTCTTCACACCAGAAAGCCTTGTTGATATAAACAGTGCTGCTGGGCCCATCCTGACGCATCCCACCGTTTACTTTTTTGGTAGAACTTTATTGATATGTCACAAGTTACATTTCATTAAGTTCTAACAGACAGAGCATGGTGCAATGTGGTTGTATCGCATCACACCTCGCTGTGCTTAAAAAAGGAACTGCATGCAGACACATTGATGAGAAAAAGATCCTTATCCTTGTAAAGCCAAGAACAAAAATGTAATACACTGCCCAGCTAAAAAAAGTCACCACCTGGATTTAGCTAAGGAAACAGGTCAGAGCCTTCCAATGGATATTTGTTGTGATCTGGGGTTGCTTCAGTTGGTCAGGTCTAGGTTCAGCAACGTCATCAGCCGCCTACCTGAATATACTGAATGACCCGATTTTTCCATCAATGGATTTTTTCTTTCCTGATGGCACATTGGGCATATTCCAAGATGACAATGCCAGCATTTATCAGGCTTAAATTGTGAAAGAGTGGTTCAGGGAGCACGAGACCATCACACATGGACTGGTCACCACAGTGAGTGAGTCCATTCCCTAATCCCTTTGAGAATCGTTGGGATGTACTCACCATTTGAAGCAGCAGCGTTGTCACCCTAGAAAAGGGAAGGACTACATAACATTTCCCCCTCTCCTCATAGCCAGGTGTTCTGCAGTCTTAATATGCTTCCCAAGAACATAGTCTGAGATAAGACTGTAGAATGTAGAGGACAGCACTGGATTTCTGGAAGAATTAACAGTTTTATTAATACTATTTTTGTGCAATTGTCAATCTGACAGAGCAAAATGCTTACAATGGCATATTTAAGAGGCCAAAAATGAGCAAATAACATTAGTTTATTGTTAGATTTTACAGAAGGGTTAAAGCTGAGAATATCTGTAAATTTTTGTTCTATGCAGATATATGGCAAAATAAACCTTCTCTAGTTGTTTAATGTAATATTGCATTATGGCCACTAGATGTCGCTAAAAAGCCTAGAAAATAAATACTTATTTCCTATGCTCCTTTAGCGCCATCTGGTGCCCATAATGCAATATTACATGTAAATATTGAACATGCATTCCACCTGTAAAAAAAAAAAACGAAAGAATGCTCCTTTGGCATATATTCTCACAGAGCGAATGTTCACAGATATTTGCAGGGCAAACGGCCCTGCAAACTGTTTATCAACAGATCCCTAAGTGTGATCAGGCTAATACAGGTTGACTTCTTTTATAGGTTGCTGCTCATCTCTTTTTCTCCAAGTATGTTGAATAATAGAATACAATAAGTGTACATTACAAAGGCTGTGACAGCAAATGTTTAGTTATTTCAACAAAGCAATATACAGCGCCTATAAAATTTGTTTCCACATTCCCTGATGCCATTGTCGCTGATGTAATGGAGTCTGCTGCAAATCGTTCTGTAATGTCCAATCGCGGCATCGTTATTGCAGCTTGTCTCTATCATGTCATTTAAATGCATTATTTAACACCAGGCCTTCAATTTAAGGTTTCGGAATTGCCGACCTGTCTCTTCTAAAAGGAGAAAGAAAAACGATATCATTTTACTGAATAGACGATAGCATTAGACTGTCCTGGTGGCCGTGCAAATTGAGGGGAACCCGAAGGTTGCTTAACAGTGGGAAAAGTGACAAATTACAGTGGACTAGAGATGAGCGAATAACAGGTCTGCTGTCATTTCACAGACATGGCTTCTACCATTTAAATTAGCTCAACAGATTGACTTTTTATGTCATAAAATAAAGCAACTCCTTCCCTACTGTTTTTACAAGTTAAAAAATACGTTTTCCTTTCAAAGCAACTGTTGGTCTTGCAATGCCTCATGGGACTTGTAGTTCCACAACAGCTGGAGGGTCTGAATTTACCACCCCTGGTCTGCCCCTTTAATTCACTGGATTTCAATTATTTCAATCATGGAGGTTCAGCATCATATGCAGCATTATCTAGGGTGGTCTGCGTGCAAATGCAATCTGCATACTAACACCCACTCATCACAACTGACATCCACCCATTAGGACTAGGGATGCACAGATACTGGTTTTTCGGTATTGAGTACGAGGACTGATATATTTTTTTTTTGGTACTTGCCGCTACCGAGTACCAGTCCCATTAAGGAAGCCAGGCAGCGTGTAATGACTTGCCGCCCAGCTTCCTGATTAGCCAGGGAGCAGGGGGCGGTGTGTAATGACTCCCCGAAAGATGTCCAGAACAGCCCTGAAGCTGGCTTCTTTATCCCTCGTCACCAGGTGATGAGTACTAGTATCAGTGTTGGTGCATCCCTAATTAAGGCATTCTGATATTTGCATAATTACTCTCAAGAGCCAGCCCACTGTTTGCATCGGGGATAAGGGTTCTTGAAGAGGAGTACTGAGGTCAAAATGCTGTGATGTTTCCAGGATGGTAAGTACAGCACCCCGCCGTCCCATCCCACCATCATGCCTGCATTGCATAAAAAAGCGCAGAGACCTTAGTGATGACATTACTGGGTCTAAATTAGGGTATGTAATGAAAGCTGAAAAGTTTTGTTTGCAAACCTAATTATAATGTTGATGAGGGTGGGAAGGAACCAGAGGAGGCAGAAATAAGCAGATTATACTGTTTAATCTGTCTTGAATGTTTTTCACTTGTGAATAATCTTCCTCAGTGTAGAATGATGGACTTTAAATTGTTTGGAAATGGCCTTATAACCCTTCCCCTCCCAGATTGATGGGCAGCAACAATTGCTGATGTCTTGCCTCCTTGGCATTGTGTTATCACACACCTGAATGCTCCAGACCAGCAAACTGCTAAAACTTCAGCTTTTAGGGCCGTTTCACACCACAGAGTCCGCCTTCCCGGGCGTTCGGCCTCTAGAACGCACTTGCATGAAAGCAGGCCGGCTCCCTGCGTTCAGGGGCAGTAGGGGGCGTGCATTGAAGTGAATGGCACCGCAGCCCCCCGCCCACAGTGCGATCGCTTGCAAGGACTATTTTTGCACATCACACTGGACCGGAACTCAGGCACTAATGTGCCTGTGTTCCGGGTGCAGGCGATCGCACTGTGGGCGGGGGGCGTGGCTGCGGTGCCATTGACTACAATGCACCGCCACGACACCTCCCGCCCCTGAACGCGGGGAGGTGGTCGGCCGGCTTGGATTCCAGTGCGTTGCAGAGGCCGAACGCACTGGAACGTGGACTTTGTGGTGTGAACCGGCCCTTATAGAGGTGGTCACACTTGCTGATGATCAATTAATCAAGGACCTTTGATTAGCAGCACCTGGCTGCTACAGTACTTGGCCACTTTATTCCTATGGAAGCTGTAAGGGTGTACTTAGTTTTTCACACATGGCTTCTCCATTTTGGCTTTATGTTTGTAAAATCCATAATGCCACGGTGTAATATGTTATGTGTGGTTGTTCATGAGAGGTTGTGTTTCCCTAATTCTAAGTCCTGCTAAGGACCACATGATTTGTATTATGCCCTGATACTTAAATCCATTGAAATTCAAAGAGAGCGTAATCGTAGGTAATCATAACATACTAAAATGAAATCTTTTCCATTTCAGCCACAAACTGTGAACTGACAGAGTGGTCTCACTGGACGGAATGTAATAAGTCATGTGGGAAGGGGCACATGATTAGAACACGGATAATCACCCTAGAGCCTCAGTTTGGAGGTGTCCCCTGCCCAGAAACCGTGCAACGCAAGAAGTGCAGGATTAGAAAATGCCAGAAAAACTCAGGGGGAGAAAAGAGACGTCTGAAGGATGCTCGTGAGAAGAGGAGAAGTGAAAGGACCAATGAGGAGGCAGATGGTGACCAGTACCCAGGTGAGCTAGAAAGGGCGAATCAGAGACTTCATAAAATTGTGATTGGATCCAATAATTAAGCTACTGTGACTTCATCCTAACTTCATTTGAAGAATGGATTTAAAGTTGAGCTTTAGGCAGGGAGCCAAATACACAAGTACATATATGGGAGCTGTTTTATCTGCAAAAGGATTTGTATTGTTGTCAGTCCAGATTTACACAGCACAGTCCTGTCTGGCAGGGCAGAACCTTATTGTTTTTAAAGCTGCAGTAAACTAGCACTTACAGGTCTTGTCCTTCTCCCAGGCCGTGACTGGACAGTGAATAGAGAAGCAGCAGACTAATTAGCTCTGTCACTCTGCACTCTCATTATCATGTTTCTTATTAGTACATGAGCACCAAAGCTCAACTGTTTAGGTTTTTGTTGTACTAAGCCATTTTCCTGAACAAGGGAGATTTTTAGAAAATTATTTTTATATACTTTGTGTCCACTCTCACAAGGAGTCAGGCATTCCCCCAAATCCTTCCAAAGGACTTTCCTGTCTTCCTGTCTTCTATTTTGGGTTGACCAGCTGTTGAGCCAAGCGCCCCCTAGTGGTAGTGGAGCGAGCAACGTCCTTCAGTGCAGTGTGCTTTGGTCAGTCTGCAGTGTGCTTTGTCTCTATTCGTAGCCGCTGAGCTCATTCATAGCAACAGTAGACATCTTTCTCCCAACCCTCAGCAAATGTGCAGTGTGCTTTGTCTCTAGTCACAGCTGCTGAGCTCATCTATGGCAACAGGCTACATAATTCTCGCAACCCCCCACACATGCGCAGTGTGCTCTGTCTCCAGTCATTGCACATGAGCTCAGCGGCTGCAACTGAAGACAGTGCAAACTGCACGTGTGTAGGGGATTGGGAAAAAGAGCAGAAGAGTGCTTTCTAAACTAATGTTAGGGGGTGCTTGTCCCAATGGCTGGTTCGTCTTAAAAAGGAGACAGGATGGACATCTGGAATTTTTGGGGAATTCTCGATTCCTTTGCGAGAATGGACACTAGGGACATAAACCGTATTATTGTTTATTCTTAAAATCTGCTTAATTCAGGGTTATGGCACGGTGTTTATGGATTTTTCTATAAAGGTGAACACGCTCTTCATCAAACAGCAAATAAGTATTTTAACAACTAACCCTCATTGATCTCTGTAGCTGCATGAACTTTGAAATAATTCATCCTCAAAGTTCACAGCAGAAGCAATAAAGTCATCTAAGTCATTCTTTTAGCATCTTAGCTCCCCTTCTGCTCACTCCCAGCAGTGACTTGGCAGCCTTCCAGACTTCCTGGCTCTGAGGTTCTTCAGCGCATGTAAAGATCCTATTTGTAAGGCAAGGCAAGCAATGTTTCTAATCTAAATGTGTAGAAATGATAGGCACTGTTTGGTGGTTAGCAGGATTTAATTCTGAGGAACCATGATGTTCATTTAATGGGATCTTAAGTGCAGATCTCTTTCTATGAGAATACCTAAGAGATTGAAGAAGAGGTAGGTTAAATGAACTAGTAAACATTAGCTCAAGACTAAAATGTCATTACAATGTTCTGCATCTGTTTCAATGTGATTTCATTTTTTTTTACAGTGTGCAAAATGAAGCCATGGACAGGGTGGACGGACTGCAGCAAATATTGTGGCGGTGGCATCCAGGAAAGGTTCATGACCGTCAAGAAGAGGTTCAAAAGTTCTCAGTTCACAAGCTGCAAAGACAAGAAGGAGATACGGGCCTGCAACGTCCATCCATGTTAGCAAACGCCTCACATGGGAGGAGCTCTGAGTTCCATGCAAAAGTCGACCTTTATTAGATTTTTTTATCATAGAATATATACAGTGCTTTTCATTTTGCAATGTACTTTGCTTACTATTCTTGCAGGTGCGAGAACTCTATTTTCTAAATATCCACATGTAATAATGAAATCATCCGGTTAGCAAAATGAATACGACATCTAACATCTTGGTGGTCGCACAATAAAGATGTTGGTTCTGGACAAGCAATGTATCTTCCTAGTCGCATCATGGACTCTAATCTTCAACAGTATGACATGCATGCAAAGTCAAACGTCACCATTAGGGCAGCCTGTTACCACCTTTATTGTCTTTCAAACACTCATTGATCGACTAAACAAAAGGACGACAGAAACTCGAAGGAGAGTTCCCAGCTTTTCATCTGTTTGATCAGACTTGTCTGAAAATAGTCTTCAATGGTCAAAGCGTGTTCAGTTTAAAGTCCATCAACATTTGAAATTCGTCAGCGGCACACGTTGAGCCTGCTGACACTGTAAATTCTATTCTTCTGTGTTGTTATTCATAAACGGGTCCTGACAATATTTGGGCAGATCTAGGAGTTGTATCGGGAAAATTATGCTTGCCTGCCTTCAGATTAGTTCTACAGAAGCTGTTGGTTCCATCTTTCTGTTTTTGAGCCTGTCTAGGCCTTGTGGACACTGGGTACCTTTTCAGTTCCTTTTCTAAAACAGAAAAGAATAGACCTAAGGCAGATCAGGACTTGAAGCGACGAATAAAACTTAAAACAAAAGTGCCCCTTGCAAAACGTTAATACATACATCTTCCATGCTGCCGATCTTCACTGTATTAAAGAAGAACTATGGGGTAAGTGTTTTTCCCCTACAGTTCTCTTTAGGGTCACGGGAGGACTCCCGATATACTAACGTCCTACCCGTGATCCAAAGCTCAGTAATACTGTTGAGATCCACCCAGCTGCATTAGTGACAGCTGGCTCAGCCTATCTAGATCACTCAGCGCTGGAGGATCGGAGAGGGGGGAATCCCTGTGGTGAGCGGTGACTGACAGTCACCACTCACTGCAGGGAGATGATCAGGAAATGAGCAGATCACTGCATGTTTCTGCCCACTTCCCGATCGATAGAGCCGACCTGTGACAGCTTCTTTGTCACAGGTCGGCTCTAACTATAAGGATGAGTGAAAAAAACTCACCTCATAGTTCTCCTTTAAAGAGATACCAGTGGAAGATACTTCTTTGATTGGCAGATTTCTGGTCCCCTATGTTTTAGTCTGCTATACTCCCAGAAAGTAAGGAAGCTCCCAGAAAGTAGTAAAGTAAGCCATTCACCAATTCACAAAGCCAGGCAGCAGCAGCTCGAAGCTGCACAGACCACAGACCCCCTCCCCAGTCATGCAAACAACCTTTTTAAAGTTTGTGAGGGAAAGTCCATCAGCACCTGACTAGTGCTTTTTGAGGGGCCCCATTTTTACTAGACTCCCACTTGAAGCACCCACCCGCTATTGAAGGGCCTACAAAGAAAATGATAACAAGTTGGTCACATGGCTAGACACCTCAGCATGTATGGATAATGTCACAGGCTGGTATCTAAGGGAAGGTCAGGAACACTTTTTAAAGTGACTCTGCAAAGCAGATAGTTAATACTTACCTGTCCTGCTGCCTAAACCTCCAAACTTCACTAAGTTAAAGAGAGAAACTTGATGAAAGATCTTCTACATTTGACACTTCCGGAAGTGAACAGTATTTCCCATTGCATTCCCCAAATTAATTGGATTCAGCAGCCCCTATGTCATTACTGTGTCCAGTAGTGATGTAGGGGCCAGCTAATGAAGTCACAGAGCACGATAGGGAACCGGAATCTGACTGTGCTGGAAGGGTCAGATTCTAAAGATTCTCCAGGTAGTGGGGTCTCTTCGGTAGAATGCAGGTACCCAGAGAGGTAAATATTAGCTGTCTTCCTTGTGGGGGCACCTTTGTTTGAAAATATACTTCTGTGACAGATTCACTTTAACAGTGCAGTGATTGTTCCTGTTGGTTTTTGCTGTCAAGCAAAGGCCAAAATCAGGAAAGAAATCATCAAAATGGGCTATAGGACATGGACTGCTTCATTTCTGTTCTTCACCCAGACTACTGTAAATGGTCTCATGACTATGTAGATCTGAATTATGTCAGCTGAAGCAATTTTGAGCTAAAATGGAGATGCAGTCCATAGCAACCAATGTTTTATTTTAAAGCTCCACAACTAAGCTGATGTTTTGCATCTAGTAAAGCATGGTGAGTTAGTTTATTTGTTATGTGGTTGAAAATATTCTTTATCATGTCCTTACTATCCCAAATACAGTGAGATGGGCAGCATGGGGACATAGTATTAGAACTGCAGCCTTGCAGTACTGTGGTATCACAGGTTCACAATGTTGCATTGTGTTTTATTTTCTTCCATTTGTTTTGTGAGTTTTCTCTGGATGTTCCGCATTTCTTCAGCAATCTAGAACATACAGATAGAATAATTTGTCCCCTTCTCAATTTGTTGTAGGAACATTAGATTGTAAGATCCTTTGGGGGTAAGGGCCTACGAGAATACTTAGCTGTTCTCTGTTGAATGCTACGGAATATGATGTCACAATACAAATAAATAAAACAAATATAAAGTAAGGTTCGGCAGCTTGACCAAAACTTTAGGCAGTGTTATTAATAAAAATGTCAGCCACATGTAGTAATCAAATCAGGAGAAGTGATAATTTATCACTTTTTAATTGTTTGATTGAGCTGATCTGCATGGGATCACACAATTAAAGTGGACCATTACACCCTTTCATTAAAAACCACTATGAAATCATCTTACAAATCATCTTAGTGTTGTATAGCATGCCTAGGATGTGCATTCCGGGAAGGTTCCATCACAGTCCGCTGCTGGGAAATCTCATCTATAAATTGCAAAGTCTTGCAAGATCTCCCCTGAGATGATGTGCATGGTGACATGTCCTAGTCAGATGTGCCAGAGTTCCAGGGAGTAAAGGGAGATATATTAATCTGCCCTTAGTAAAAATGGCCACTGTGAGAAGAATGGGGAGGAAAAGAAAAATAAGGGTTGCAAAGAATAAAAATCCAGAATTTATCTATATGTTTGTAGATTATCATTAGGAATTAATATTTCTAAAGATGCCTTTGTTGTTATTTTTAAGATAAGGGTAAAGTTACTTATTAAGTAAATTCGGCATTCATTATTCACTCATTGTATGATTCTATGGAGATTGGTCATGTTGGTTTGCATATTTGCAGTACAATAAATTGCAGATTTGTCGATTTACCTGTTTTTGAAACTGCCTACATATAAACATGGACATACATAGAGTGATGTAGTCCATGACACCCTTCTTTGTAAATTTACAAAAATGTGTATTCAATGTAAAATCCTTATTTAAATCCAAAAGTTTTATTTATCTTAGTTTTGGATAGAGTAGAGCATAATTTACACCAGTCATTTTTTTTTCTTTGTCCCATTGGGGAGATTTCCCTTTATATTTTGTCCCAGAGACACAACAGGAAGTTTTTGGAGAGGAATTTTCTCCAAAGTGAGGGGAAATGCCCTCTTAGTCAACTGCCACTGGAACAAGTGTCCCCACTAGAAGCTGTCTCCTTTATATCTGTTCTAGTGACAAATGGAAAATGTTGGATTTTTTTTCACTTTCTAACAGGATAAATAATGGCTTCCTAGTGGGAACATTGGCAGTAAATATCTGATGTGGATTTTAACATTCCCCTACTTTGTTCTAAAATAAATAAATAAACAAACAAAAACAAGCAAGCAAATAAATAAATATTGGCTTTAAATACACTTTGACTATGGAAACCATTTATATTTTATTAGTTTGGATTTTGTCTCATGAGTAGATAACGGTATTTTTAGAAGTAACAATCTGTTCAGTAATGTTTGTGACTTGACTCTTATATACAGAAACTGACAGTATAATGTGCATGCGGAAACGTCAGCTGATCCATGTGTAAAACCTTTAGGAAATTGGAAAAATAAAAAAGTTGTTTGAAATTAGCGGATAACACACAGTAATAATGCCCAATGCATTCTTCTTTCTCTAATTGACTTTTAAATATTAAAAAATAAAATCCAGTTTAAAAGACCTTAACAAAGCAATAGAAACATTAGTGGTGACAGGCTTTGCAGTCATTGAATTTCTTTTACGGTTTAGGTAGGAACGTATAATTAAGTATTAATAACTCATTGTTTACAAAAATGATCATCCATCACTCAACAAAATTCATATAACAGCCACTTTTAATTCACATTTTATTTATGACTATTTTTTTTTACATTCTTTTTAAGGAATTTCTGTGGTTTACTTTTTTTCTACAGCAAACAAAGGAACACACAAACATCTTTTAAGATTAAATTATACATTTATAATTGGATAGAGATTATATTTATTTTGATGACAAATGTACATAAAAGATTCTTCTTGTAGACATTATCTAATTTTCAGAAGTATGTTTCAAGGCCTATTCTTGAAACATATTTAAAACAAATAGGACAACCTTAATAAATGTTCCTTAACGTGCTGCTAACGTTTATGTATTTCCATTCTCACACTCGACATGCAGCTCTATAGTTCTTCAAGTGCTAAAGCAGTTAAAGAGTAGGTCCACTCAGAGCCGATATTGCTTTTGGGTAGATACTAGAGGTTCGGGTCAACTACTAGGTTCTTGTGACTCTCAAGCACCCTAGTAGGGATACACAGAGCTTTTCCTGTCCAGGGTAGTGGAGCCCTATCCAGGGAAGTGGGGCCCTGGACTCTTAGCTTAGTGGAGGTTCTGAATAAATAAATTGATAGAGTGCCAGCTTTTTGTTGCCCAGTGGAGCATCAATTAGGGTCCCTGATACAGTTAGCTTGTATGGAGTGAAATTATAATTTAAATGGTGGGTAATCCAGGATTGTAATTCTTCATAAAATGTAGCTGCAAGCTTGCTCAACTGGCTGATAGAAGGTTTCTTTGTGCACAATAATTTGAAGTTCTGATGAAGGTGGATTTGTGCGTAACTCCCAAAACATTTAGGCTGTCAACTCTTATTAGTCCCCTTTGTGACAAAGAAATACCATAATATCTAGGCTAAACATTAGGGCTTGGGGCCTTCATCTTTTCACTCCTAGGCGGCCGCTATGGGGCCCAGGCAAAGGGGGACCCGGCCAGGGC